TTATATATTATTATATACATATTTTAAAGAATTGAAAATAATATTTTTGTAATGTTTATATATTGTTTATAAAGATCTTTCTTATATTCTTTTTTTGTTTCAAACTAGTTGATGTGGTGCAAATTATTTATTTATCTTTCTAAGGATGAAATTTCATTGGTTAATAATTTCACATTATCTATTGTAATAAATCGTTAACAACGCAAAATGTTATTATCCTCATCGTAGTATTGTTGCCGTTGTTTCATAATTTCAGAGTCGCCGAAATTAAAGTTTAGTCAACATATTAATATATATAACAATTAAGACATACTAAAAAGTCTAAAAAAGTCTTCATCTCTTTAAAATCTACAGAAGAATTAAAAAAGATGAATACAATGGATTGAGATGAATTATTAATTACACGCATGATTTCTTAAATACAATTATTGGTTTCCATCTTTTTTTTTGTTCAACTAATTGTTACATTACATTATAGGAAAGTTGTTTTGGTGAGATTGAATGAAACGGGAAATATGGAATTGACTTGCGTGCCATTTTTATAAGTGATTTGATTAAAATATTACCATTTTATAACAAAGCACTTTTTCCTATTTCCCATTTATAACCATCGTGGTTACACTGGAATGAAGATCATTCTTTGTGACAAAAATGTCTTTACCAAAAAGAATAATCAAGGTATAAAACAAATGATTCTCACAACTTGGAGTTTGCAGTAATAATTATTATTAGCCAATAATTCAAATAAATGATTAGAAATAATGTATTTATTAATACAACTAGTTATTATAATTATCACCTGATTAATATTTTTTTAGGAAACTGAACGTTTAATACAGGAACCAGCCCCCGGTATAAGTGCAACACCACACGAAGAAAACCTTCGATACTTTGATGTTATTATAGCTGGTCCAGCTCAATCACCATTTGAAGGTTGATAATATTAAATAATGAATAAAACCACATACAGATAATATATTTATCCCCAATTTTTTTAAATAGGTGGTATTTTCAAATTGGAACTTTTTCTTC